TTAAAAGATATTAAAACAACTTAATAAAAATTATATAAAAAATATAAAATAAAATAAAATAAAATAAAATAAAATAAAATAAAATAAAATAAAATAAAATAAAATATAATAAAGAAAATTAAAACAAAATAAAATAAAATTAAATAAAATTGAATAAAATAAAAAAATATAATTTAAAATAATATTATACTGGATAAAGTAAAATAAAATTAAATTAAAATAAAATTTAATAATGAAAAACAATTAAATTTAAAAAAAATTAAACCAAACTGAATTATAAGTTAGTTTTAAATAAAATTAAATTAAACAAAATAAAATAAAATAAAGTTAACTAAAATAAAATAAAATAAAACGAAATAAGATCAAGTAAAATTTAAATAAAATAAAAAAAATTAAATTAAATATATTATCAGATTAATAAAAAAATATTGAATAAAAAAACTAATCAAAAAATTGCAGATTAAATAAAATTATATTAAAATATCTTATAGAATAAACGAAACTAAGCTTAAATAAAACAATAAAATACCATTAAATCTAATATAATAAAATAAAATAATATAAAATAATATAAAATGAAATAAAATAGAATAAGATAAAAAATAAAAAGTAATAATTTAATTTAAAATTAAAATAAAATAATTTAATAATTTAGTAAAAAAAATAAAATGAAATGAAATAAAATAGTATTATATAATAGAATATAAAATTAAATAAAACAAAATGAAATAAAAAAAATTAAGCTAAAAAAAAAATAAAATATAAAAAAATACAATCAATTAATATAAAATAAAATAAAGGAAATTAAAGTAAAACAAAAAAAAATGAAATATAATAGAAATAGAAATAAAAAAAAAATTAAAAGTAAGAATTTAATATAAATTGAAGTAAGATAAAAAAAATAAAATTGTTTCAGAACAAATAAAATAAAATAAAATTAATTTAAATGAAATGAATAAAAAAATTTATTAGTGGAAATAAAACAAAATAAACTCAATAACAGAATTATTACAAATAAACATAAAAAAAGAAAGTAAAATAAAATAAATAAACTTAATAAAACAAAATAAAAAATAGACCAATAGAAACATAAAGACATAACAATGAATTAGAACAAGATAGAAAAACAATAGAGAAATAAATGATGACTTGAAATAAATGCATCACGGCTATATTATACGGTCCTCTGACTTCGCTGATGTGAGTGACAATGTTTAGTTGTATGTGAGGGTGTTATAGGATATAGTCAAGCCTCTGGGTATGCAGTTACAATCGCAAAGCTATACACAATTCTTAGCCTTACTTTTATGGTGCTCATCCTGCAAACGTGCGCAAGTTTTGTAAAAGATGTAGTAACCAACCCATGTGGAGCATAGAGTAAAGGCTAAAGGAGCGGAAGCTTCAATGGAGGCACTATAACTTATTTTGCTTAAGGGTTCACTGAAGTCTAGACGTAACATCGTTATGGTTCCTATCCTGCTATATGGTGTGAAAGCATCTCATGAGTCGGCCTTCGGAGTTTTTGAGACAAAAGTTTCGCGTAAGATTTATGGTCTTCCAGGAGTTGGGATGCCGAATACCGCAGTCGATGGAATGATGAGGTGTTCGAGATATACGCCGCGATTGACGTAGTGCAGCAAATCAAGCAACAGCGGCTGCGCTGGCTAGGTCAAGTGGTCAGTAGGCATAAGAATGCGTCCCACGAGTTTGGATTAAATTTAGCGCATTTTCGTTAGTCTCCTAACCGAATTTCGCATGCAGGTCTAGATAAATCCATATGTATGCATATATTACATACATACACGTATATGCACATGTTCATAAGAGCTTTTACATTTCCGAGTTATTCGCTTACCACTTCCTTCTTTCTCTCTCTCTCTCTCTCTCTCTCTCTCTCTCTCTCTCTGTTTTTCACTTGCTGACAGTGCAAGCGGAAATTGAATACTTTCCGGTATCGAAAGCATTGATTATAGTACTGCCAACAAAACCAAATGTCGAGTCAAGATATTCAATTGACACAAGCTCTTTTTCAACTATACAAAACAACAACAACAACAACAACAAAAACAACAACAACAACAACAACAACAACAACAACAACAACAACAACAACAACAACAACAACAACAACAGTAGCAGCAGCAGCAGCAGCAGAAAAGTAGCAAAAACAAAAAAAAAACAAAACACACTAAGCATACAAAACAATCATCATCCACACTGTATGACCAATAAGCCAGGATGAGCAACAAAGCAAAACCATGAGACAGGTATAGATAGCAGCAACAACAACATAAGCTAAATATCAACTTAAAATGAAATACAACTCGGAGCAAGGAAATGGAAATGGTCTCAAAATACAGCAGGACGAACGAAACGCACCGACGGAGGCAAACACAAACTGACGGACCGAGAATAGGGGAAAGACGGCAATGCACTTCGAAAGCCAAGAAGGTTGTCAAGAGAAGTCAAGAAGAAGACAACAATGTAATTGCGATTCGAAAATCCAACGGAAAATCTTTCATAAGAAAAGCTTTTCAAGCAGATGAAAATGATTTACAACAACAACAACAATAGTAACAACAAAACAATAGCTCACGTACAATATACTTAACAGGTATAACTGTACCAGAGCACCAAAGCCTTGATTATCCCTGGTTGCTTAGTTCCAACTGCATTTTTGCTGTTGTTGTTTTTGGTTTTTTTGCTGCTACTACGAAGGATGACAACTATCATATAGCAGAAATAAGTGCAAGTATTCATTACAATCCAGCGAACTATTCAAGCATTACTCCGTTACTTACAGGGCGGGTCCCTTCTTCTGCTCAAGCAAGTCGCTTCACTGCACACGTTCTGTTACTTACTACTTACACGTTGCTTGCTGGTTGTTGTTGTTGTTGCGTGTGCTTATTACAAAAGCTTGGCTGTTTAAGCTAGTCGGTTGCTAAGTTGTCATCAGTCTCAGCCTCTGACTCGCCCGCGCCACGCCTCACTAGCATCATTCTTCACATCTTCACCGGCTGCAAGAAAGTTTTGTGTTCTCATCGGTTTATCTGTCACAGGAAGCGTTTCAGAGATTTCAGTAAAATGTCATTTCCCGGCTGATGGTTTAACAATATCCGCAATGTTTGCCGCACTTGACTTTTTGTACTTTCTTTTCGTTCGCATTGTGTGTGTCAAGTGAAGAGAGGCATTGGTTGTTGGTGGTTGGTAGGGTTGGAAGAGTTTGGCTTTGGTGCGGCCGGATGTAATTTAAATAATTGTCAGTTATTATCTTTTAGAATTTAAATTTTTGATTTACGAAATTAAATTTCGGGTTTGAAAATGTAAAATTGTGAGGAGGCGGAAATTAATCTCTTAACTGATTATTCTCCATTAGTGTTCTATTCTGAAGGAAGATATGAGAGCATAAGTGGAGGTCCAACACTGACGAAGGAAGAGAGAAGAAGCAGATGAAAGAGACTAAATTTTAATATTGTAGATATCGAACGGAAGGAGATTGAATAAACTTTTAAATGATTCTTATGATGAACCCGACTATCCCCAAAAACTCTACTAACCAACCCATTCGAGAATGTTCAGTTTAAGTCAGTGCATTTAGATAGAGAAGATCTACAACTTCACACGAAACAGAACTGCCATGAGTTGTAATAAACATATTATATTGAACAACTACCAGGAGAAAATAAGCCACTCGAGGCGCAGACTCTCTTGAATGAATGCGCGCAATTAAATCAGGTGTACAACTTTGCTTCCGCCGTTTTTCGATAGGTGGCTGTACCGGCTGAGGCTGGTTGAAATACATAGATGATAATGCCTTTAAAGTGAGTGTGGACAGTGCCTAACGAATTGTCATCGCCGTTTCAGTGACAGTTGTTCTTGTTTTCGTATTATTCACGCTCGAAAATGTCCGTTTATGTGCCTAATTCTCGCCATTTGCGGGAAGTTTTACTTTTCTGTTATTATTCGAAAAAAAAATTCAGCTGAAACGCATCGAATGCTCTGAGTGAAAGAACGTGTCGGGAGTGGTTTCAACGTTTTAAAAATGGTGATTTCGATGTCGAAGACAAACAAGGTCATTATTTGTATTTGGTGGGATCAGCTCGGTGTGATTTACTACGAGCTCTTAAAACCGGGTGAAACCATCACAGGAGATCGCTACCGAACGCACCTGAAGCGCCTTAGTCGCGCGCTAAAAGAAAAGCGGCCACAATATCAAGAGCGACATTACAAAGTCAGCCTCCAACACGACAATGCTCGGCCTCACGTCGCAAAAGTGGTCAAAAAGTATCTGGAAACGCTGAAATGGGAAGTCTTGCCCCACCCCCGTATTCCCCAGATGTCGCCGCTTCTGACTTTCACCTATTCCGTTCGATGGCACACGGCCTGGCAGATCAACATTTTCAATTCTTCGAAAAATTGAAAAAATGGATTGCTTCATGGATAACGTCAAAAGAAGACTCCTTTTTTCGAGCCGGGATCCGAAAATTGCCGAAAAGATGGGAGAAAATTGTCGCTAGCGAAGGACAATACTTTGAATAATTTATCTGTAAGCACTTTTTCGCAATAAAGCTTTTAATTTTGGGAAAAAACGGCGGAAGCAAAGTTGTACACCTGATAAAAGGTTCTATATATTTACATTTGATTGAAGGATTTATTTACTACAGTTAGAACTATCCGATTTATGTCAAATATTCTCGTTTTTCTACATAACTTTTTATCTCCTTGAAGGTAATGCCATTGTGAGTCTTTCTTGGGAACGCTTGTATTTATTGACAATTTATTTTTACAGCTAATTTTAACAGCCTTCTGTTGAGGTTAATTCTTCATCACCTAAACCATTCGCCATAGACAGGAACAGCTAGCAATCATTTCGTGTGAGCTCCAGACTACAAGGTTTACGAGACTCTTATACATGAGAACATCCCAACCAAGCACTCGGACCTTCTCAAAACATCGAATGCTCCGAAAACATTTGTATTTCAATATAAATTTGCATAAGTAAATACATACATACGTACATTTTTCTATTAAAGGGTTTGTACGCTGATGCCACTTGATTGCTGTTGAGTTGAGCGTTATTTGAAATAAAAAAAAAAATTATTTTATGTCCACTTGTGTTTGAATTGCGCTGTTTAATAGTGACACCAGAATAAACAGGCGAGTAGTGCAAATATTTTCACAGATCCAAAAATATACAAAAATCGCACATATGTTTAAAATAAAAGAAAGGCGTAAACACATGTATGTATCTAGTATATACTATGTACGTGTACATATTTAGTATACATTGTATATTTACATTTTATGGATATAAGCGACCAATTAGCGCTGCCTATTGAAATGCATACAACTGTTTGTGTGTGGCTTGTATGTGTACTCAGATGTAAGTAAGCATTCATGAGACATTAGAATCATTCAAATGCTTGCATATGTTAAATTTGCATATACTTCAGCACAATTACATACACACATACATATTCACATGTAAATACATATATAGGTGGATATCCAGAGGTAGATTTGCATTTGATTGTATGCTTATCTGAGGGCATCAAATATAACGGTAAATAAATGCAGTATGCAAATTTAAGTTGAATACAAATGAGCAACATTCACTCACGAGCGCTGCAAAGGTGCAAGCAGCGACGAGGTGCACATGTGTGCAGATATCCAAATACAGTTTTAAAACAAAAGCAAATAGGGTAAGTTTGCTTCAGCGACGTACTCTACAGAACAGTCGTTACTTTTGAACTAGTCTTTTTCTAGTGTATTCATAACAAATATTGATTTAACATAGTTTTGAAAGAAAATATTGATGTTTGGAATAACTTTAGGCTACCTAATGAAAATCTTATTTTTCATCTTTATTTTGAGTTATTTCTGTAGAAAAAACGATACGCTAGGTGGCGCATGAATCAAGTATCAAGTGAACCGTCGATTCGCATGATTTTAGAAAACCATTTCATGCCTGATAAATCACTTTATAAGGTTTTTTTCTTGATTTTGCGAGTAGTATTTCTAACTTTCGGACCAGCACTTCTTTGTGCTTCATCTTTGTTGTCAGGTGGAAACGCACTAACAGCACCAACAACGCTGTAGCTAAATTTATATTTACGATGCTAGTTGATGTTTACGAGTGTCTACAAAAGTTTTTGTTGCTTGCTGTCATATTTTCAAACACCGTTAAATATCATCAACCCAGTACAGCGAATGAATATATGAATATATAAATGAAAATAATACTGCCGGTATTTGCTGCCAGAGATTATGAAGCTATATTTCACCTCGTTATGGGGTATAATCATCTTTTTCCCAACAGTTTCTGTCAATCAAAAACAATATGTGGCAAAAAGAAATTATGTTGGAATGTAAAAATGGCAACAACTCAGCCGTACAAACATATAGTAATTTAAATAAACATAAGAAAATAAAATAAATATTTCAGAAAATAAACTAAAATTGTTAATTAAAACAAAATTAAACTAATTTAATAGCAAATACAATAAACCGAAATAAAATTCAAAAAAACATACCAACAAAATTAAACTAAAGTAAAATCAATAAAACAAAATAAATACAAAAACATTAAATAACTAAAATCCTAAATATCTAAAAATTTCGAAAAGGCCTTAAATTAAAAATAAAATATTTGAAAAATAAATTAATAAAAAGAAAAAAATTTAATTTAAATGTATATAATTAAACTTAAACTAATTAAATAAATATCAAAATAAAATAAACCGAAACAAAGTAGAATCAAATATAATAAAATTAAATTAAAAGTTATTTAGTCTATATTTTAATATGATAAAAATAACTTAATAATCAAATCAAATCATATTAAAAAAAATTAAAATATAAAATAATAAAAAAAATTAAATAAAACAAAGAAAACCATAGCAAAATATAACAAAACAAAATAAAAATTAAATAAAATAGTATAAAGAAATGAAATAAAATTATATCAAAGCAAAATAATTACCATAATAAACGTAAATTAAATTAAACTAAATTCAAGAAACCCTATTTCAATTAAATTTAATCAAACAAAAATAAAATAAAGTAAAATGAAATAAAATAAAAATAATTAACACTAATTTAAATTATCATAAAAGTAAAAAAATCAATTATTTGATGTTAAAGAAACTAATTAAAACTATGATTTTTGAAAATAACTTAAAATAAAGTAAAGGCAAATTATACTAAATTAAATTAAGTAAAAAAAAATTGGCTAACTAAAATAAAGTCAAACTAAATATAAAATAATATAAAATAACGTAAACTACTTTAAGCTATAATAAAAAATTTCTAAAAATAAATTAAATTACATGACGTTAAAAAAAGATGTCAATAAATAATTATAAAAAAAAAAATTTTGAAACAAAAATTTCTGTAAAAAAATTTAGTAAAGTTTAAATCTAAAAATGTATAAAAATAAAATAAATAAGAATTTAATAAGCTCAAAATAAAATCAAGTAAAATATGACAAAGCAAAGTCGAGCCAAAATAATTTTAGCTGGAATAAAAATAATATAAAAATATTACAGATTAAATAAAGTTTAAAAGTAAAAATCTATAACAAAAAAGTATTAAAACAAAATAAAGTGAAATAAGATAATAAAATATTTATTTATATTATTTTAAGTTAAAACAAAAAATAGCAATAAACATAAATTAATTTTAAATCTTATTTAAAAATAGAAAAAAAAAATTAAACTAAAAAAATATTAATATATAAATTGAAATAATAATTAAATAAAATAATAAAAATAAAAATAAAAACAACTAAAGTAAAAAATATTTTAAATTAAACCGCAACATAATAAAAACTCAAACAAAATATAATAGAAATAAATTATTTTATATTAATGATGAAACCAATTTGTGTAAAAAATATGTTGACTCTCCTCCTGTTATTTGTAATTAAAATACTCGGGACTTAAATATGCTTAATTTAATTTAAATAAATTTCGTGATAGGAGAAGAATATGCTTACGCGATCTTACTTGGTTGGAAGCTCTCGTTCCGATAACTTTTGTCTGTGAACCACACCCAGAAAGCTTTACTCGAGCCTACCAAACAAATTAACCTTCTCGAAAGCAGTGCAAGCAACAAATGATGTATGAAACTCACCTATAAATATATTTAGAAAATATATTTCGAATTAGAAAAAATATTTAGATTAATTAAAATAATAAATATTATACTGAAAATTTTTTAAATTCTAATTTTTCTTGAAATTAATTTTAAATAATTTTTTTTTTTTGTATATATTAATTCTAAAAACATGCTCAAAAAAATAACGCAACAACATTAATATAAAAAAAGGCATACGTATATTTGTATACGAATATTTACTCTTGTTGACATACAGCCAAACAATCACACACAATTTCCGAAAGTACTTAACTTATAACGTAGCATTATTTAGCAGAAAGCGTTTACCTACAATACTAAAATACTAGACCGACTCGCGCAATTTGTGTGGGCTTTTTGTTTTAATTTACATTATTTTATTCTTTGCTTTTATTTCAGCTTTCTAGGTCGTTTACAATGAAAATTACTTTTCATTATTTCAATTTATTTGCGATAAAGAGAAAAGCATAATAAACGTTAACGAAATATTTTTCAATCAGTGCAACCAAAAATTGACAGTCCATTAACATATTTTCTAGATTTATTTAGTACTTAAGTATGAATAAGTCATTCAACGTCAACTTCGTAGTTTTTAGTGGAAATATTAAAATTATTTCAAAGCAATTTAATGGGTAAATAGAAAACTAAACTATTAAAATATAATGAAGGTAAACGCAAAAAAAATTTCACAAAGATTGGTTAAACATGGGTTTTTTACTAATATTGGACACCAATTAAGAATACAAACTTTTGATAAATAAGTAAAAAAAAAAATATTGATAAATAAAAAACAAACAAAAAATAAAAAAAAATTAAAATGAAAAATTCAAAAAATGTTTAAAAAGAAAATTAAAATATTTATGAAATATTGAAAAAATAACAAATAAATTACGAAATTTAAATGCTTAAATTAACTAAACTTAAAAAAAACAATAAAAAATACAAAAACGGAAAATTTAAAAACTAGGAATTAAATATATTAAAACCTAAAAAAAAAATAAAAAAATATAAGAATGTTATAAAATTTAAAATAAATATAAAACTAAATATAAAAAATATATGAAAAGTAGAAAAACATGAAAAATAAAATAAAAAAATGTTTAAAAAATTATAAAACTATATTTACGAAAAATAGGCATACATAAAAACTAAAAGACAATTGATCAAAACCAAAAACGGCCTACAAAATAAAATTAAATAATTACATAAGAGAAAATTAGAAATTTAAAAAAATTAAAAATATAAGTTTAAATAAAAGGATTAAAATGTAATAAAATAAAAAAAATATATATTAAAAATATTTAGGCAATTCACAAGCTTTGTTTATGTCATTTCCAATTGTCTTAAAATATACGACACTTGCGAACAGCCCTAAATCGTTGCATGTCATATTGTGTAATATTTCTATGTTGGATAGTGACAAATCAAGAATACAAAGATGCCACGAGAAAGTGAGAAAAATGATATTATAAATTATATAAAATTTTTAAAGAAAATACAGCTTTCAAAATAGCACATTCAAAAGACATATTTTGCTATGTTGTTTTTGTCGTTTTTTCAATTTTATATGAAAAACAACACAAGTGTTTATATGATAGTCATAAAAAAAAGACAATATGACACAATGAAACAACTTGTGAATGCCCTAATTGTAAAAAAAAATATTAAGTAAAAAAATATATAAAGCTTACAAAATTATGGAATTTAATAAAATAAAATATGAAAATATATATCTATATATAAAAAAAGAAAAAAAATAAAACAAAGTTAAGACCAAAACAAAAAGTAAAAAATAAGGAAAATAAAAAGAATAAAAAAAATAAAAAAATAGAAAATAAAATAAAAAGTAATTTATAAAAAAAAAAAAAATAAAAAAAAATTAAAAACAAATTTAAAGCAAAAAAAAAAACTAGAAACCAATAAACAAAAAAATAAATTAAAAACCGAAAAAAAAAAAATTAAAAACCAAATAAATTTTTAGGAACCAAAAAATAAATTAAAAACCAAAAAATAAAGTAAAAACCAAAAAAGAAAGTAAAAACTATTATTTTAGGTTAGTAAAATATGTAAAAAGTAAAAAAGATTACAATCACTAAATATTACAAGAATGATACGTAAAAATATACAAAAAAAAATTAATGTTTTTTTCCTTTTTGTAAATACCACTGATAGAACTTTATAATGAAGCCTTAACCGTTCTATTAATAATGTGAAACCAGTTTATACTAGTTTACGACCGGCAGAGAAATTCTAAACGTGTTTCTGTACTATATATGTATGTGAGTAATTTTAATTTTTATTTATTTTTTTTTTACATTAATTATATACTAACGCATTTTTCTGCTATAGTTTAAAGGCCACGCAGTAATTACAGTTGTTTGTCGTTGAGCAAGCCCGTATATTATATTTAAATTTTGATTGTTGTTGTTTTAGCTCATTTTTTTAAATTATTATTACATTGTTACACATAAACATACACTAGTGTTCGAAAATATATTCATGTAAGTTAACTAACGCGCAATTTTGCAAGCTTGTTTTCCAAGCGAAGAGAAAAAAAACTGCTTTTGCGAAACATATACAGTTCCAGCTTCCGTTCGCCGGACCAAACTATGCTAAATTTACTTCCCTGTCAGCTGATGGCTTGCTGATATCTTGGCTGAAACTCACTTTGACAGCTTAGAGTTAAATATTTTATTTATACTTCTTCTTTGTACTCATTCTTTGAAGCCCGAGCTGTTTAATTTGTGGCGCGAATACACGCCAACTGACAGCGCTGACTCAAAGTGGCATGGCAGAGTCGAGAAACTAAAATTAACGGGCAGCATTTTTATAGTGCCGGAATTTATTCGCACATCTTTGTATTTTTTATACTCATTTATTCTCACTTGTTTCTCTACTTATTTCTCTGCTGTCGAATTTTTGAGCTTTTTTCTCCCTTAACATTCTCATGGCTTTGTTAACTTCCTTTTTTTTCTTTTGGCACTTCCAAGTGCCTATGTAACATGTGCAATTTTTCACAACGCAAAAAAGAATCAGCAGACGCCATAAAAGAACAACGGATTTTGTTTTCTTCTTGGTGGTTATTTGCATGTTTGGCGTTTGACTTTTTGAGTGCTAGAGGTAAAGGAGCAAGTAGTAGCTACTCACAAGCCGAGGGCACTTAGTACTTGTGTGAACATATGCGTACATACTACAGACACATGTAAAGCAGTGCAAAATCTTTTATTTGCTGTTGTGCTTGGCAATTTCGATTGAAACTCTTCCTCTCCCGGCCACCAGACAGTTGCCTTCCTGTTGCTTTGTGGCCTCATGCATGTGCTAGACTGTTTAGATTTATTTCCTTTGGCAAACACAAAGTCTTGCTCTCCTCTACTCAGCACTGCCAGTGACATTAAACTGGCTGTTACTGCTTAGCTACTATTTCAATACTTCGGCGCTTTAGCGCTTTAGTATGTTACTCTATAAACCAGACTAATAAATTACTTGTGTGTGCTTGCCACTTAAGCAGTCAAATGTTCGTATTTATGCAACGAAACATGCAAACGATACTACCTGGCGGCTAACGGGGTAAGTACTAAGGCGCACTGTGGAACGTGCAGGGTTATTTTTATGGTAAATTTATTATATATGCAAAGAAAATTGTAATAAAATGAAATAAAATAAAAAATATTAATATAAGTGAATTCAACTGAAAGAAAACTACACCAATCAAAAACATTGAATAATATAAAATTATAAAATTATTATAATAAAGAAAAATAATATAAAATAAATGAAAACAAAGCAAAATAAAATGACATAAAGGAAAATAATAAATAATAAAATTGAATTCAAACGAAAAAAAAGAAACATAACAAATTAATTTAATTAAAAAAATTAATAAAAAACAATAATAAAAAAGAAAAAATATATAAAATAAAATATTGCAAAATAATATAAAAGCAAATAAAATAAAAATAATAATATAAAATAAATTCTAAAAATAAAAATATACATAAGAATAAAAATTAATTTAATAAAATAAAAAAAAAATTATTTAAATGAAATAAACTAAAAATGAAATTGAAAAAAATAAATAAATTACTTAATGCAAACTGAATTAAAATATATTAGAAAGTATGAATGAAGTTATATCAAATATAATAAAAATAATCAAAAAAAAAATATATCTTCACATTTCTATCGCGAATAATAAATAACAGACTTCTTACCCACAGTGCTTCAGTTATGTGTATGTTTCAACCTAATGTATGCAAACTCTATTTTCGCATCGCCTTTTGGCATTAGCTTCTTTTCTAAAGGGTATTAATAGGCTGCGGCTCCAACATTTACCGCGCGCACTAACTTCTCTGAATTATTTGTAACGCTTTTAACTTGTCTGTTAGCTGATTTGAAGATTTTGTTTCCTTTTAACATTCCTTGTTAACGTTTTTCGCTTTTTTTTTTTGTTATTATAAACAAAACGGTTCACGTACCAATGTGTGTATTGAAGCAAATATGCAAAGATCTTATGCTATGTGAATTTTTCTTGTGGTTTTTAGTATTGCTTTTCAGTAGCACTTCATTTCATTTCATTTCAAACGCCTCGTGATGCCTCATTTTATTGACGTGCACTTAATTGTGTGGTGTTTTAATACTTTTGCGCCTTTGTGGTTTCATGTTGAATTACAGTGTTAGCCTTTTATTTACTACGCTTCCATATTATTTGCATCTTGGGAACAGTTTGAGATTAAATAAGCAGACATTTTTTGTTCATATACAGGTGAACAGTCTGTAAAATTATTTCAATTTTTTTTTGCATTCATTTGCTAAACAACTTTATTTCAAGTTATTTGATTCTACAACCCTTTTATTGTTTTTGTTACTATACAAAATTTAAATATATACTTAATTTTTAAATAACAAAATGGTTGATTTTACTTTATTAATTTTTTTTTCAACTTCATATATTATAAAATAAATTCATTTTAATTTTTTATTATTCTAATTTATTTTAT